CCAAAAAAAAAAAAAAGATTAAAAAAAAAAAAAAAGATTGCCCTAATTCAATTCGTGGTTTCTCAACGGGAATCTTTCTAAACCTCTTATCCATTTTGTGGGGACTAGTTTAGTTGAAGCTAGATGATGCAGTCCAGACACAGGTAAAATGCCTTACCACCAACGCTTTGCTGCTGGGAACTTGCCCTCCTCCCACAGGAGCGTTCATCCGATCATCTGCTATTCACATGGATGAAGGGCGCCAGGGATAGTCCACTTATTGAGTCTCAGTAGCCTTTCATTTCTTATTTTAGATAAACAATAAATAGGAAACAGGAGTTCTAATACCTTGTTTCCATGTCTCAGTGGTTTTACCCACCCCCAAGGTACTTGCAATTCACTTCGGAGACTGCCGAAGTGGTTGCATAAAAAACCTCATTCGGCTCCACATACTCTGCTGTTGAACCTAAAAACCTAACTCTAGAGGGTGGATTATATCTTTAAGATCAATTAAATGACTCCCCAGTTGTAGTTGCTAGAGAGAGCAAGGAGGAAGTTTAGGATGGTTCATTAAAAAACATATATTTTAGGACAGTAAAGAGGTCAGATTTATTTGTTGTTTTGTTTCATTTTTCGCTCTCTCGCTCTCTCTCGAGGTGGGGGTTGGAGAAAGGAGCAAATGCAGGGGAAGGGATTAAGATGATGTCTTTGACACACCAGTGCTGAGTGACCAAGCCTGCAGCCTGTTGCCTAGGTCACCGATTCCATTCCACAATCAGCCTCTTCAGCAGTCCTTGAGAAGCTGGGGCCTGACGCGGGCTGTACCTCCCTGAGAGCTGGACTGCCAGGGAAGTGCTTTCGCAGCTCTTGGGCAGGGAGGGCTCCCCACAGCTGAGGGCAGGTGTCCCGCAGACACCGTTTGGTGCCCTCTGTTAAACATGTGATGTGAGAACTCACCCAGTCAGCTTCCTGTGGTGAGGCAAAAAAAAAAAAACAAAAAAAAAAAACAAAAAAAAAACAGTCGTCAGCAGAATTGGGTTTTATTTTTAAACACAAGCAAGGGGCGGGGGAAGGAAAAGAGGAGGTAAGATAGCATTTTGGTGGCTTAGAAAGCAATTTATAGGGTCTGTGTGACTTTGTGTGCTTCAGGTAGCTACATTAGTAAAATATTTCTGATATGAGCAAATGCTCAAGCCAAGATTCAGAGTCACCGTGGGTGAGGGGAAAGTATTTGCCATTTTATTTACGAGTACAAACTCCTATTCATGAACAGTGGCTATGAACCCTCTCTGTAGAGTACCTGACTGTGTGGCTAGGCCCCACAACGTTAACAAAGGAAGGAGGGAGCCTGCTTGTTGTTGCTCAAGTACCTGACGTTCAGCTGCACTGGAAGTTGAAGCAATGAGGGTGTGTGGCTGTGTGTGTTTCACTAAAAGCTAATATGGAGGTGTTAATAGGAAAGCCACCCCTAATGGACAGCTTGCTGCCATGGTTTAACCTTTAAACATTTGCTCTCCTAGTTCCTGTAGATCGTTTCTTTAAAATGGATTTTAATTACAGAAAGCGAAAGGGGAAGATAATAGATTTAAAGCAGAAAAATCCATTTGAGTGTAGAGGTCAGATCATGTTGTAACAAACACAATTACGCCTCATACCTCTGAATCGGTAGATGCCTGGAATGGGGTGCTTTGACTAATTGAATAGTTTGGTTATTAGGGAGTTGCTATGTAAACTCTAAGCCAATGGCTTTCCCACCCTGGTGTGAATAAAAATGACATAGTGAGCCTGTACAAATCAGGTCTCTACTCTCTACCCCTGGAGATTCTGATTCAGTAGGTCTGGGTAGGCCCCAGGATTGTGGATTTTCTCTTTTCTTTTCTTCTTTTTTCTTCTTTAACTAAAAATTTCCCTGATTTGTTCATGATGGGGCACATGTGCCTGAAAGAAAGATAGAGAGAGAGAGAGACACCCTCCACAGGGTCTGGTCACGCTATGATCCTCTTCTTTCAGTCTTCCAGCCAGTTAGATCCTGAGCACTCGTGCATGTGCCTGACAAGTTTCAGGCTGAAGGGGCCAGGGATTCGAACTGCAATTGCCATATGGGATCTGGCTTCTCTTGAGCAGCACATCACTGCTGCTTCATGGAGCTGGCTTGGAATGTGAATTTTATTTTCATAACCTAACTTCTGATAGAAAAAGTAGTACTAGTTAAATCTTTGTTTTAATAAGCACCACAGAGGAGTCTAATTTAGGTAGACTAGCAACTATCCAGAGAACTAAAGCATACTAAAATATACTTAGCCACAAAACCAGAAGGAGCATAATGTGGCATTTTAAGATTCTGCATGTCAAATTGTTTATTTTGACATTACCACTGTGCAGAACTATGAACACTTGTCAGGTTCTTTGCAACTCTGCTCTTTCGGACTCTGGTTGTGTTAATTATACATGAAAACTTAAATTTTCAAACCAAGCAAATTAGGGAGAGGTTATTGGAGTAAAAGATTTGCTGTACAATCCACTTAAATATTAAGATCTTAGGCATTTAAAATCGAACTCGATTTGCATAACTCTGGATGATGGGAAACTTCTGGGAGCATCTTTATCCTGCCAAATGAGATGGCTTTGTACAGTGAGGCGCATTATAATATTAATAGTATGTTAGCTACTCTACCTGAGGTAGAAGGCAGTATCACAGTTCTGAGAGACATATGCACACATGCAACTAAAAGATGTGCTAATCTGTACAGGCTGGGCTGTAAAGTAGTTTTCTTTTTTAATTATTGCCAGAGGGGCATGCGCCCTCACGCATGTACATGCACACTCATGAGAAAGAGAGAGAATAATAGAGTACTCCCCAATGGGCCGTGGTCACACCACAGTCCTTTTTCCTCCACTGCTCCTTTGTGTCAGGATCTTGGGCACACACGCACACGCAGCCGGCGAGTATTTCAAGCTGCCGTGGCTGGGATTCCAACAGCAGTTGGCCATGTGGCATCGGGCTCTCAATGCACAGCACTTAAACACTGCACTATGGGTCGACCCTGAACTGTAAAAATTTTAAAGATTAAAACTGACGGGCCCAGCGGGTGACATGGTAGTTAAGGGTGCCAGACTCCCACATGGCTGACCCTGGTTTGAGTCCCGGACCTGACAGCTTGTTCTCTCTCTGTCTCTCTCTCTCTAATTGTGTCTCTCTCTCTGGTCAAATC